AAATACCATTTTGCCTCCTGTGTCAAAACAATGCCAACAACCGTAGCATCTTCAACCATTCTTCCAGCAGATCTCGAAGACAAAGAAACCGCATCGTATGCTTGCTTCAAATATTTATGCTCGCTTCTACTTTCTCTTGTTCATATTATTCAGTTTACGTCTACCTCTGAATCAGCAGCAATAATTGTTTCTGTGTTATACTTGATATAAAGATTTGCCGTTTACTTTAATAGAATTTGTTTTGAACAAGGAATTACTGATTCTACTCTTTTCATGCATCTACAGGTTGTACGATTTCCTGAACTAATGAGTCGAATCGATGCGAATTGCAGCAATAAAAACCTATTCATTTGGTAACAAACTTTCACTTCAACCATATATTATGGTTTCTGCTTCAGAAACGCCGTTCCGAACAATGAACATAAAAAATATTAAAATAATTTACTTCGCATAAAAATTCAAAATGGCCAAAATGGCCAGGTTAAGTACAACAACCGATAAATTTTTCACATTTCAAACGAAAACAAATCAGGGTAACAAAAAACTGCAGTAAAACTATTGAAAATAAGGTCTGAGAACATAATAAGTGGTAAAAGGCCGGTAAAAGTTCATCTTAAGCAAGACTCGAACCGTTCTGCTTGTCCCGCGAAAAGTTAATTTCTTTCTTTGGCGGAAATGACGATGAGCCGTTAGTTAACGAGTCACCAACCAAGTTCGAATCTGTCGCGAAAGATAAATTTTAGATTTAAGCAAGGGAGCGAATACACACCAACGGCTATAACCGGAACACAATCTTTACTTAACGAATTATTTGATCATGCTGGTAAAGACATGCCGGTTAATCTAATGAATAAACCTAGTTATTTATTTTGTATCCATACAGATAAATGTTATTTATGTTATATGACTATATTCAATAATAACAGATAGCACCTAATATATTTATATTACTTGTTATCAACTTGAAAAAGATTCAGTATAATACAGTAATACGTCATGTTAATTTTTTGACTTAATGTTTTCCACAACTTTATCAGTTTCATCCCTTAAACAACGCAAACTGATAGTTAATATTACCTGGAAAAAAGGCACGCTTGTGATCATCGATCACGCTGTACAGGTTGCTTTTGGCCTTTTCGTACTCCGGGAAGGAATATGAACCTGAAATAAAATTAAAATAATACTGAAAACATACCGCACACAGCTTCCACAACTTGATAGGATGTTACCTTGAAAATAACACGTGCTACAGAAACATGAAACTTTAATTAGTAGCTAGTTCGCCAAAAAAGTCAGTTCCTATTTTTCAACAATGTTAACAGTTAAGTGATAATGCTTTGGTACAAAAAAGGGTTTATCGGGCTTGTCATGAAAAAGCTATAACAGTTATTTGCTGGTATATTTTGATCAGCATGGATGATGCGCTTTAACAATTATTTCTGAGTTCCAACGGCAAAACGTGACAGTCAGCTGACTGTGCTGAAGTACTAAACTACCACTATCTTCTTTGCAATCAATAAGGTCAAGTTCCGGATGTAGATTCATCTGCATAGCCTACTTCAAACGGAAACATCGACTTTATGAGACGTTAAAATGATAACATTCCTGAACATAGCATAACAAAGAAGTTAACTCTTTTTATTGGTAGCGTTGAGCGTGCTATGCTATCGTGGAAACCAAATGGTGGCCAGTATCTTAATTTTACTAATGTAATTAAGAACACATTTAAACAAGAAGGAAACTGACACTATGAATTCGGAGAGAGTGTTGAGGCATCCGCCGGTAGCAGTCATGAAGAAGCCATGATGCTAGTCTCGATGAACTGCCTTTGCTTAAAAAATGGATAAAGATTACTGCCACCAGTTCCAACGTAAGATTACAGACGCTCTTGAACCGATGACACAGAGATAAAAAGAAATTAATACTCACTCGAAAAGTTCGGATTGCGTTAGATACTTCAGAACTTTAGAAAGAATTAACGAAACGAGGCTTATCCTGCTAGACTAACTGGTGGAGCCTAAACTCGGCACTATGGCCCGCGTGCGAATGCAAAAATCGAAACACCGCTACAAAGAAGGATAGCGTGCAACGTGCATTAACCAGGCACATGAGGATCTAAGTTCGTGGATGATTAGTTCCTTCTAAGACACAGCAATTTAAGCTTTGCACCAAAAGACTTACAGGGCCGAAAATACCTTAACTAAAATTAAATTAAAATTTTCCACATTTACGGTTTATACACTGCGTTGCCAGTAATCAGATTCGTCAAAGCGAAGTGATAATGAAGCAGCCGTAGAGACGCAACAGAGGGCACAGTCATAAGTCTCGCGCAACCCGGCACGAAAACACCAGAACACCCCGCGGTGTCCATTATTCACAGGTC